TCTCCCTTCCCCGCCTCTGCTAACCCCCGCGCAGGAATCGGCGCGGCAGTAGCCCACAACCTGGCCAGCAAGGGGTGTTCGCTGCTGCTAAACCACAGCTCTCCCACCTCTCTCGCGGCAATAAAAGAAGTACACAGCAGCCTGGCACGCCAATACCCATCCGTGTCCGTCTCCATCATCTGTGCGGACCTTGGGAGCGTCAGCGGTCCCTCATCCGTGATCGCTGCCGCCGGCGGCCGTCAAATCGACATAATCATCAACAACTCTGGCACGTCAGGGAACCACTACCTTGGTGCGGTAACGGCCGACGAGTTCACGCGGCAGTACGACGTCAATGTCCGTGGTCCGCTGCTGCTGGTGCAGGCGGCCGTGAACTCCCTGCCGAAGGACCGCTCAGGCAGGATTGTGAATGTTAGCAGCATCAGCGCGAGTATGGGACTCATGGCGCAGAGCGTCTATGGTGGTACCAAGGCCGCCCTGGAGGCTATGACGAGGACGTGGGCGAGGGAGCTCGCCGAGAGGGCCACCGTTAATGCTATCAATCCCGGGCCGGTCGATACTAGGATGTGAGTTGCCCCCCTCCCCCCCTTGAAGGATAGGCGGCTGATGAACAATGGGCAGGTACGGGACGACATCTCCCGAGTTCCACGACCAGATGCGGCCGCTGCTGCAGCTGACGCCGCTGGCACAGCTGAGCGCGGCCGAGAAGGCGGGCGTTTACAAGGACCGGGTGGACCTGTACGCGGGGACTGGAGGGCGCTGGGGAACGCCCGAGGAGGTGGCGGGGATTGTCGGCATGCTTTGTAGTGCCGATGCGCAGTACTGTACCGGCCAGGTTGTGTGTGCCAATGGAGGGATGGTCATGCTCAGATAGATAGAGTGGGAGAGATGGGAGAGGGTTGTGTGCGTCAAGCATATGTGTTCATCAGCTAGATTTCGTGATGAGCTGGTATATATACCTAAAACAGTGGGAGAAAGTAAAAATACAAGCAAAAGTAAAAGGGTTATCCACTCGAGCCAAGTAAGAAGGAGAAGGAAAGTGCCAACCGTCACTATCATAGCCAAAAGAAAAAAAAGGAAAATCACTCAATATATGCTCCACCAAGACGCCAAACATCTAAAGAAACGCAATGCAAGTTTGCAGAAGTCCACCGGTCGATCGAAACGCCCATCATAGAGAACATGGATCGCACTAATCGACATCCATCCTCTCAAGCGCCTTCACGGCATCCTCAAGGTTCTTGGCGTCATTACCTTCGACGCCAACGACTCTTTTCATGCCGCCCCGAACCTCGCGACCCACCAAGTTCCGCCCCACCTTACCCGGCCCAATCCCGATCCACCGCGCCACGTCCCGCTCGAGATCGAGATACTTGATGCTCTCCGCCCACTTGACGGTCGCTGTGCACTGCATCGCCAGCTGCTGCCTCAACTGCTCGGCGGACTCGTAAGGTTTTGCAGTAACATTAGCGATCACCTCCGCCCCATCCGGCGGGGGGAAGACGACCTCCATCTCCTGCAGCATCCTCGCGACGACCGGGACAGCAGGCGCCATAACCATCGAATGGAACGGGGCCGAGACATTAAGACGCAGCGCGCGCGGGTCATGTCCAGAAAACTTCCGAATGTGGCAGATGCACATATTGATCGCCTTCAAGTGGCCGCTGAGGACGATCTGCGTGGACGAGTTGATATTCGCAATGCTCAGGAACTCATCATTCGGCAGCGTCTCCGAGTGCATGAAGCTATCAACGCTCGCAATTAACCCGGGAAGGTACTTCTGCTCGACCAGCAGCGCGACCATTCCCGTTTCGCCTGGCCCGCCCTCCATCTCCGGTATCGACGCGCGGATCGCGCAGTCCCGCATGACCTCTCCGCGCCGCCTTACAAGCCGCAGCACCTCCTCGAGCTTCAACACGCCCGCAGCCACCAGCGACGTGAACTCACCCAGCGAGTGTCCGAGAAAGAAGTCTGTCTGCGCGCGCGGCGAGAGGTTGAACTCCTGCTCAAGGATCCGCAGGATCACGATCGACGTGAACAGGATCGCGGGCTGCGCGTTTTCCGTCGCGGTGATGACCTCGTTGGGCCCCTCGGCAATGATCCGCGATAGCGGCGCTTGCCCGTCCGCCGGCGGCAGCGTGTCGTCCAGGAGCTCGAACAGCGGCTTTACCGTGCGCGGAAACGCCGACAGCAGTGGCGTCAGCATCCCGACTTTCTGCGTGCCCTGGCCTGTGGTTGCGCCATGACATGTGTAAGCAAAGGGAGCCCTGGCACACAGAGGAGCGCGCGCGTGCGTGCGTGCGTGGGATGGGTACTCTACCTGGAAAGAACATGGCAGTTTTCGGCCGCCGTCGCGACGGTGGGGGCGTGGACGCAGCAGTCGAGGAGTGCCGCACGGCATGGCGTTGGCTACGCAAGTTGAAGAGGCACTTCAGGGGCGGTGGCGGTAGCCGAAGATGGAGAGTTGGCGGCATGGTCGAGGATGGTGATGGTCGTGTGCGAGGAGCGCTGGCGGAGAAGATGGTGGGGAAAACCAATGGGACGATGATTGGTCACACGTGACCTCGTGTAACATCTTGCCGGAGAAATCTCGGCAATTCATCACCGATCTTCACCATAAATCACTCGGCTTGGTTTATTTTCAACAAAGCCTAGAAACCGGTAACATCAGCCGGCTGAAGGAGGCTGGCCTGTGGTACGGGCATAGGTGGTACGGCAGTGGCGAGGGATCTCTTAGTCGGCCGCACAGTTACCTCACCATACCACTTGACGTCAGCCCGACATCAGAACGTACACACTATGAAGTTGCCTCCACCCACCTGTCTCTCCACCCCCTCCGTGCCGTACCTCGACTCAGTGGAAACATTCAAAGGGATATGGCGCAGTATCTACTACTGGTATTATTGTCGCCGGACCATGATATTGAGTTACTCTCGATTCTCCCAAGTATCCACGCCTTTTTATTACAATGAATCTCTCACACTAGACAAAAATATCTTCAGGCACAATGGGAGATGAACAAGACCATCCTCCTATTCAGATTCGATGTGCTAAAGAAAAATAAGAAAAACAATCACTCCACATGCAAGCGACTAAAAAGCCAAAACTCAATTCTTCTTGCAGGATTGTTGGTGTGCATGCCGGATTTATGAGATGCTAACCAAATTCATCATGCTGGGTCCAGAAGACAACGATGAAATCAGGGAGACGGAGCTCCAGTTTCCCATGTTGTACATCCGGCCAGTAACAGGTGGAAGTGAGCTCGTGCGAGGCGGGATGGGTGGTGGTCCTAGGGTGCGAATTGACGCACTGCTAAGATAGTGGCAGAGCTCTCCTTCAGTAAGCCCTGCGGAGTAGGCGGCGCTCGCGATGTAAAAGACCGGCCTAGTGTACGACATATTCGATACATGATTCGGCGGCCCCCCCTGATTTCCCGCATCCATCCAGACCTGGCCTGTGGCGAGAAGCCCCAGGGATATAGAGTAGCCATCCTCACCGTCCAGTATAACTTCTTTGCTTTGTGAGGTTTGTTTTCTGTACCAGACAGAGAGGCAGTCAGGTGGGAGTGGAAGCAGCGATGCCCACCCAATCGGGCGCGAAGCAAAGGATCTTATTATCCCCGAAACAATTATCAGCCGTTTGAACGTAGAACAACAACAGGTTCTACATACATATGGGGTATTTCTGCACCTAATTAAGAGGATTGTGAGACAGGTATGCGTGAAGCACAGCCGACAGATGGACCTCGTTGCGATTGGCATCGGTGCTCCGCCGGCCTTCGTAGTCTGACCGGGGATTGTCGGCAGCGCAAAACCCTTTGCCGTGGGCAGGGCCGAAGCCCATTCCCAGGTATCATAGGAAGGGCCAAAGCCCTTTGCAATCCACTGAAGCCAACCTCCGTTGCGAATAGCATTGTGAAACGGAACGACACAGGACACACAGTGTACGGCGAAGACCGGGAGTACCGGTAGCGGGGGAGGTTGCGGTGCGATGCTAGGTGGTAGAAGCTATTGCAATTAGCATGAGGACGGTGGGATAGGTAGGCACCGAAGGAAGAACTCACCAACCGCGGTAGAGCAAACTCAATAATTGCTTCGCCAGGCATATTTCGTGCCACTTTCGGAAAAGGAAAACGTTCGGTATCCGGAACCAACCGACATTGGATGCATTTGGCCCGTGCGTGGCGGGCGTAGTAGGCGGTTATTATCCTCCGCTCAATATCAGGGTACGGAGGGCTCGGAAGATGGTGAGTAACCGAACCAAAGGATTCGGGTTGTTGGCAGGGATTAATGTGATGTATGAGGGTGGGTAATCGGGAGGTATTATTGGGATCATTGATGATGTCGGATTATTGTTGTGGTTGGGTTGGCAGTGAGGGAGCAGGAGCCGGAGCGGCCGTCGGCCGACTTGAAGAAAGCAAGCAGCAAAGAAATCAAGTGATGAACTATCGATAGGTGAAGAATAGTGATGATGGAGGATGAGGGAGAGACAGACAAACCCGCCGACATAAATATAACAGATCGGCCAACTTTGGCCGCCGCCGCATCGTCGTACAACCGTCAAGAAGAACACGAGCAACCAAAACAAAACAGAATCGACGAGCAAAACAGAAACAGGTCCCCCCTGCAGCCCCAGGTACGACAGCCAGTCCCAACGTCTTGGCGAAAAATCCGCCCAAGGTCCGCAGCCAAGGGTCGAAAAGTGCTACCAAGACGCCAGTTCCAGCTGCGTCCCACACTGCTCAGGTACCAGCTACATTTTCAGTTTCAACCTGGGGTTTCTGACCAGTTGAAGGTTACCAAAGCCGCAGCCGGAAGCAAACGCTCATCTCCCCCGATGACCCGTCCGAAATCCCAGATGTTCAACAGCACGCCGCTCTTATTTTCTGACAACGATGTACTGGTGGTTGTCCGCAGATTAATCTGTGAAGTTGTGGCTCAGTCGACAATATGCAGTTCCTTAATATTGTTAACTTGGGCCCGGTGCTGCAATGAGGTTGTTTTTAGCATTGGCATCTTCGCCTGCAATCATCAATGACGCTACGTATCTGAGCCCTGTATGGGTGTGGGTTCGGTTAACGATCGGCCTGTGGGGTCTGATTGGTTGGAAAACTGCGAGGCTACTCTATATAGAGTACCGAAGTTATGCATTCGGTTCCGAGAGGGTGGTCCGATTTCCCCAGACTTTCGAACTACATAGGTTCTCAGCCATCCACCATCCCAGAATCAGATGGAGATATTGCAATACCAGTATCTACTTCTTTCTGTACCGAATAGAATATCACCATCTCTCTACCCAAATACTTCAACAAATATAAATCCATGGTGACAGAAACCACCCATTGCCACCTGCCTTCATTGACTGAGTAGTGAGTGAGTACATATGAACATTTGCGGCGGGAGTGACCACATTTAAAGCTTTGGGATCATTTATTTACTCTGAATATCTTGCGCTACATAAGCGATTTATACCGTATCCGTCCTGCCTCCCACGGCCACGGCCACTGGTTACCGTTGGATGCCGCACCACATCTCATCTTATTAAATCCGCCCCTTCCAACCAAGTATAAGTACGCAACCTAACTCCCTTTCGCCGGCAGGCACCCCTCCACCCTCTCGACGGCAACCTTCTCACTCTCCAGCCTAAAACTCATCACGCCGGCGGATTTCGCCCACTCCTTTGTCGGCGCCCCAGGCGGGGCCATATCCGGAGCGACGATGTTCGTGACGACCCTTCCGGTGGCGGTGTGATTGAGCAGCTGCGTGATATGCGCAACTCTGGTGCCAGCGAACAGCAGGACGAGCAGGAACGCGATCCCGAGGACCAGCCATAGCGCCGCGAAGAGCATCGCCGGGATCGCGTAGCGGAGGTCGTATTTGATGCGACGCTCGAAGACGAGGACAGGCCGCGAGGGGTCAGCGGATGCTGTTGATGATGATGCGAGATGAGGCTTGCTGCCCGTCACCAGGCTCGCGGCGATGTCCGTCCAGAGGAGGTTGAAGATTAGTGTGGCGGACTCGGTGCTCTTCGACA